ACTACAATTTTAATTACAAATTCAAAATTACAACTTTAAAATTTTAAAATATTTTCATTGTTTAGTTTTAATAGACTATATTATTTTATAACAGAAGGAAAATTACTCATATTAAGTAAGATTATTTTTCCATATCAAAGTATATGTAAATTTTTTTTTTTTTTTCCTCCTTTTCCAAATTTAAACATTATTTAAGTAATATTAATGGCACTTACTACAAAACTAGCTAAGTCATTTCTCAGATTTAGTAAACTTTATTTATTTATTAATTAATTAATTTATTTATTTCAAATATATGTAACCTAATTAATAAAGTTTCATATGTATGTATAAATAACATGTTAGAATTCATTTTATTTTACTACAATTTTAATTTCAATTTTAAAATTATAACTTTAAAATTTTAAAATATTTTCATTGTTAGTTTTAATTTAGACTATATTACTTTTATAACAGAAGGATAATTACTCATAGTAAGTAAAATTTTTTTCATATCAAAGTATATGTAAATTACAATTTTAAACTTTTAATTTAGATATTATTTAAGTAATATTAATGGCCCAGACTACAATACTTTCTATGTCATTTCTCAGAATTAGTAAACTTTATGTATTAATTCAAGTTTAAGTATGTATATGAGGTAACATTTTTTTTTTTTTTTTTTATATATATATAAACCTAGTGATATAATGTTTCTCATGTAAGTACAAAGGACATGGGTCATTCAAAAGCTTACATCTTATGGCATTTCATATTAATTTTATTTTACTATATTTGCTTTTTTGGGATTCTTTTTTAGTGCGTGTAGTATTATTTAAAAGAAATTTAGGTTAGAATTCATTCAATTTAACTTTAATTTTAGTTTCAATTTTAAAATTACAAACTTTAAACTTTTGAAATATTTTCATTGTTAGTTATATTAGACTATATTACTTTTATAACAGAAGGAATATTACTCATAGTAAGTAAAATTATTTTTCAATATCCAAGTATATATAAATTACAATTTTTAAACCTTTATATTTTAAAATATTATTTTAGTAATATTAATGGAACTTACTACAAAATTAATTAGCCAAGTCATTTCTCGGATTTAGTAAACTTTATTTATTACTTAATTTATTTATTTATTTTAAATATATGTAACCTAAGTAGTAAAGTTTCATATGTATGTACCAAGAACAGGTTAGAATTCATTTTATTTAACTACAATTTTAATTGCAATTTTAAAATTACCACATTAAAATTTTAAAATATTTTCATTGTTAGTTTTAATTGACTATATTACTTTATAACAGAAGGATAATTACTCATAGTAAGTATAATTATTTTCCATAACAAAGTATATGTAAATTACAATTTTAAACTATTATATTTAAATATTTAAGTAATATAAATGGCACAGACTACAAAACTATCTAAGTCATTTCTCAGATTTAGTAAACTTTATGTATTAATTAATTAAATTATTTATTTTAAATATATGTAACCTGAGTAATAAAGTTTCATATGTATGTACAAAGAACAATGGGTCATACATTACCTTACATCATCTAGCTTTTAGTTATAATTTCATTTTTTCAGGAGGTGTTTTATCGATTCATTCAAGTGTTTGTAGTACATTTATTATAGAGGTGTTTCGGTTGGGATACATTTTATTTAACTACAATTTTTAAAACGGTGTTTATGTTTTAATGCGTTTTAACCACAATTTTAAATTTTAAATAACAGTTTAAAACATTTTTTCCTGCCATTCAATAGACTTTTTTTTTTTTTTTTTTATATATTATTTAAGGAAAATTTTTGACAATGACGGCATATAATAGCTATTTCATTTCTCTGATTCAGTAAATTTTTTATTTTTATAAACTTAGTAATATATAGTTTCTCTTGTATACATAGAGGACACGGGTCGTTTAATGATCTACAAATTCTAGCTCTTCTTATTAACTTCCATTTTACTGTAGGTGTTTTATTTGATTCTTTTAGATGCCAGAAATATTTTTGAGAGAGATGTTTGATTTTATATTTATTTATTCTAAATGAAGTTTGATGTTGGTTGAATCTTTTTTTGAATTCATGGCTAGTGCAACCTATATATATTTTTATGTTATCAGGATTTTCAATCGAAGAGATATTGCATTGGTATACTAATGATTCAGTGCAACATTTATTTTGTAGTGGGCAATTTTGAGGGTTTCGACAATTACATAGTTTTTGTTTATTTACATCAGTTTTTATCTTAATTTTTCTATTGTCTAAATTTTTTTTTGGTTTTGGTATAAGTGTTTATTTAAGATATTACATTATGGTTCTTAATGATTTTTTCTAAGTTCTTTGTACAGCTATAACTTAATTTTAGTGTGTTTTTATTGAAAATAGTACTTAGTTTATTTTCACAAGGGAAATGCTTGACTATTAATGTGAGTAATATATATATATATATATTTTGAACAATACAAAAATATTAAAAAATTAAAATCTTCAGACACACTGGGTTGTAGATTAATATTCTTTCGTTTTTTTTTATTATTATTTCATTTAGATTCCTCGACTAGTTTCGGCCAAAATGGCCATCATCGGAAGAAGAAATATTTCTGCTTGCTGGTAGCAGTAAACTACAGAAATTAATCATATATATATATATATATATATATATATAAAATTGCTGGTAATTTTTTTTCAAAAATGTATTGCTGGTAATAATTTTTTCTTCAAAATTCGTTATTAATAATATTTTTTTTACAAAAACGTATTTCTGGTATTAAAAGCTACTTTATACTTTTATAGTGTTTTGACCCCAGTTTGACGGGAGGGTCAACGGGAGGGTCAGCCCATAGCTGAGATCCTAACAGGTACGACAACGCCAGGTCAGGGTGGACCTGCGAACATCAGCAATTAAGAGGTGGTTCCACGCCCTCGAATCCTCCCGATCAGCGGCCTTGGTGTTGGGTTGAGTTTATCGTCTTATCCAGAATGTTGGTCAAGAAAGTGAAACGATTATAATGGGATTGATCTGAATGTGCCAAATAACCGCTGGAATCATCTTTCTATATTCCAAATAATTTTGCCATCCCAATTCCCAAGAGTTGGTTGAAATTTTCTCAATCACCTTGTTCGTTATATTTACGTCATTTTTGGTCAGATTTTGGTGCCTTTATCTAACGCAGGGTTTCTCAACCGGGGTCGATTTGGACCCTAAGGGTCCATCTCATATTTCTGGGGGTCCACATGCAAAATATCACAAATTGGAAGTCCACAATCATATTTTGGTGGTCCATGAAAAAAAGACAACTCAGAATGGATTTTATTATCAAAAATTAAATTTCTACTGTAATTTACACTATATATATAATAATAATAATTTAAATATATATATATGTATATATATATATATATATATATATATATATATATATATATATATATATATATATATATCCAAGAAGGATATAGATCCAGTGAGAGCTTAATGTAGAGAGCATTATAATGATAATAGAAAGACAGAGATTTTAATTAGCCATTTCGATTATAATTTATTTCGTGAACACCGAATCATTCAATACTTCTTATATTCTTTATTTATTTTAACATTATTTTTAAGATGACATTGCCGCCATTCAGTAGGTCTTGCCACACTGTAAATGTACTGGAATATTTTAGGAGTTTGAAAATGACATCATCGTGTTGACATGATCATTAAACCCTCTAGATTTAAGTCCCATTGAACACTTATCGAATTCGCTGTACCCGCAAATTCCCTCTACGAAAATTGGTAGAACCAGTTTCTGAAAGAAATTCCATGACTGATCGAGTACGGACTATTTTCCACGGATATGGCGATCCAAATTTTCATTAGGCTGGTTGTTGTAATGTTTTCGCAAATGTTGTTTAAAATACAGAATTTTGCGAGAAAGATTTTTAACGCATTCTTTATTGTTTACAGCTGCAATTTTCGATTATGATCACAAAAGGAAATGGTCTAATTATGCAAACGCCATTGTTGTTTTGGTGTTTAATGGCCATGAAGAAACCAGTAAGACTTTGAATGATTATGGCGCCAAACAGTTTCAAAACAAAGAATTCTTTACGGATTTCCAAATAAGAAGAAACATTGTAATTCGTTCCTATATAGTAATTATTATGTCTATAGCTATTATTTACCTTCTGCATTCAGAGCCACCCAATGTGACTCGCGTAAATCGTATAATGACACAGGAGTCTCAGCGTGAAATTAAACCATAAAAGAAAATAAGGAACAAACGATGATTTGCAATATTTTTCGCCCTTTTTCGCTGTTGACCTTCATTCTTTAGTTGTGATTATCTACCAGTTTAATGAATTACTTTGTCTGGATCAATATTAATTTCCTTATTGACACACTGGTTTTTCTCTTATAAAATATATCCATTCATTTTCTGATATCTCTCGCTTTTACCCTCCCACTCTTTGTATCTCTTTCTACCGATGTGTTTATATAAGACAGCCTATCCCTTCCCCTCCCCCGACGAATACATTCCTTCTCTCTTCATGTAATATATGGCATACGATAGATAGATATAAACAGACTGAGGTGTGTATATATATATATATATATATATAGATAGATAGATAGATAGATAGATAGATAGATAGATAGATAGATAGATATGAACAAACTGACATACGCAATAAATCATTTAGATAGATAGATACGAACAAATTGACAGATAGATAGATAGATATGAACAAATTGACAGATAGATAGATAGATAGATAGATAGATAGATAGATAGATAGATAGATAGATAGATATGAACAAAGTGATAGATAGATAGATAGATAGATAGATAGATAGATAGATAGATAGATAGATAGAAAGAAACGCACAGAGGTGGAAGTGTATATTTATATACCATATCTATATTGACATATACGTCTGTATAGATGTGCTTATGCGTGCATGTGTTCAAAGACAATCATAAATAAAAAGCTGGAAAATTTCGCAGGTCGGTGATAAGACAAAGAAGCAGACATTTTCTCCTCGACTGACACGCGTATAAATCACCTCAAATACATGGTTTGCTGACACAACATTAAGTACGCCGCGATGTTATGTATAAGCCGATTTTATTAAAATCCACAAGGTTTGTTTTGATATCTTCTTTACTGTCTTTCTCTTGTTTGCCTATAACATAACACAGATGTTTGATTTTCGTCTGGCCGTACGAATGCTTTTAAACGCTTTGGCCATTCTCAAGAACGGAGTCTATTATGGTTTTGAAATAAAAAAACTTTGATGGATGTTTCTTCATTATAACGTTTGTTTGTTATTTTTGAAGCGTTTAATTTTAATCATATTTAATTGTGCTGATGACGTTACATAATATTATTGGTTAAATCAACTGTTTCAATGTAAGAAACTATCGATATTCATTGACTGAGCGGATATCCTTACTAACGCTTGAATATTATAAAAAACACCTATTTTTTAAAAAAGAAAATTCACACACACTCACTGAATTTTTTTTTTTTCTTTTTTTTTAAGCATTTCATCCCAAGCAAGATGGGAGTGCAACTAGCTCGCAAAGGGTTACATAAAGTGAGAGCAAGATTAAAGAGGTTTATTTGAAGAAAGGATATAGAAGGATGGGGATCAGGATCAAGGCATTGAAGATGACGATTGACATTACATTTGAATATTTGAAGATTCTAGCTATCAGGGATGAAAGTAAGAGGAAGGAAGTTCCACTGGCGGAAAGTGCGAGAGAAGAAGCTGTTGGAATAAAAGAGGCTGTTACATATGTTTCAACAGTGAAATGTTGGGACCGAGATGCCAATCTAATAGCACGTTTAAAGTCTTGCTCTTTCTTGTTCTAATGGGACATCGTGGATAATGTAGACGTAATTTTGTGTCACTATATGTCACCGGCGAACGTAAAGAAAATGGTTAAGTTAAAAATATAAGCTTGGAACAAGACGAAAAGGTTTAAAGAACAGAATAGTGGAGAGACTGAGAAAAAAATCTCAATTGCTTTTAGTTTGAAAGTTAATTTTTAAGCAAATACAGTTTGAAGAAAACAACTTTGTTAGGTTTATTTTGCCAAGAAAACTGTCCTGGGGAAGCTGGACTGACAGATGATTGATAGTTCTTCTTATAGTGGAAGTTACGAAAATATGTCTCTTGATTGCGCAAGAGGTCGATTGAGATATACTATTTTTTTTGGAGACGAAAGCAAAATTAGGAGAGTTAATTTATACCATCTATAAAAATTCAAATTTGTAAACAAGTCGAGAAATAGAATTACTTTATGTAAAGATCCAGCTCAGGTTTTCGTTTAGTACAATAGCCCTAACAATATATGGAGTAAAACTGACTGGATCAAACAGCGGACAAATTTCTGATGACATAAACAAGCCCAGCCTGGGAAAAAATTTGCTGACTAATAATTAAAATGATAATTTTAATTAACCCTTTGATTCCTGACAGGCGTAGGTGAAATACGAAGAAGAACAGAGGAATTGCCTACGCTCATTGGGAGGTGTTGGTACGAGTCACAAATAAGGGGAGGAAGGAGTTATCTGTGCGGGTCGATACCTGTGATCGTTGCCCATAGGAAAAGGGTTCTCCTAATTTTGGAGATATAATTAATTTCCCATAGCCAGACAACAAATGGCTTTTGGAAAGATAGGGAAACACCGGATCACCTAATCTCGTCGACCACCATGCCAATTTTGGGTGAAAGTCTATATAAGCAGAACACTGAAACGACCAAGGGAGTTCCATAGACGCCAGTTCCAGAGTGCAGACGACTTACCCAGCCGAATCACACGTAACTTGCTAACATAGAGAAAACTTCCGACTTAAGCCTTGTTCCAGATAAAGCTAAATTGATCAAATTGATAGAATTCAAAGTGGGAAGGGTTAATATTTCTCGAGAAAAGAACGATATAAACCGCACAAAAATAGACCCTAAAGAATTTCCTGTCTTTTTATTTCGTCTGCAAGAACTATTTTTTTTTTTTTACTTTTCCTTTGTGGCATAGCTTCGCCGGGATCGAACCAACGCTACAAATGCTGATGACAGCTCGATCTTTTGCCAACTCCGTAATCAATCAACACAATGTGGGTAAGAGCGAGGCACAGATAAGAACGACTAACTCCAACGGGGCCAGCGGCAGCATTGACCAGAGACCGACAAGCCAGAAATGTTACAATGTTTCTTCCTGTAATTATACACACAAAAATATAAGCATCATGAAGATTTTCGACAACTATTGAAGAACAGAGATGAAAAAACATTAACAAAATGGAACCAGATCCGTGAAGATATAATCATGAAAATCTACATTTAATATTTGGTCGTTCGGAAAATAATTTCCGATTTTAGAAGCATTAAGATATGCCAAAATGGAAGCCTTAAAATCTATATATTTCCGCCATCGAGTTACAATTTTATTTAAAGCTTCACAATAAAATTGTAAAATTTGGATGCCAAGTAATTTTAGAATGCAGTTTCTGAATCTTTGTTTGCAATGGAATCTTTTGGCTGAAAATATGTCAAGATAATTGAAGAACTGGTAGCCAATGCACGAAAGATCAGGGGAATATGATGAATATACCAAAGTTTCATATTCTATTTTGTGATATGAGACCTTTGCAGAGTAATCCTTTCAACTTGAGGCTGAGCATTTTCATGAAGCAGAATTGAACCTTGTCGATTTACCAGTGCCGGTCGCATTTCGCTTAGCTGAAAGTGTATTTCATCAAGTTGCTAGCAGTAAAGTTTTAACACTGACACTCTGGTTAGATTTCAGAAATTTTGTAATGGATAACGCCAATGACGGACAACCACGAAGTGACCATGACCTTCTTTTGGTGCAATTTCGGTTTAGGAAAAGCTTTGAATGTTTCATCATGATCAAGCCATTGAATTCGACCATTTTAGATTGTCATTTCCGAATTCATTTCTCATTACAAATCATAATTCGTTCAAGAAATCGTTCGTTCATATTTCACAAATGCAGCATCAAAAACAATTCCAAACATCGAACTCTTCGACTTTTGTTGAGTTTATGTGGAATCCATTTATCGAATTTCTTCACCTTGCCAATTCTCTTAGGAGAATTTTCTGAAATATTTCTTTGAAACTTTGACTTGGGTTTGATTCTACTAGTGTATTCACATATTGATTCTCAATTGAACATGACTGTCATATACCACCTTGATTTTCAAGACTCGTATCCCCACTGAGGAACTCTAGAAGCCATCCCCATTCTATCCGTTCACAAGTGGATCCTTCACTCTATTCTCTGTTAATGGTGGAAGCTGTTTGAGAAGCGTTATGAGCAAACCTGAACACATGTAAATACAGTAACCCCATCTCTTTTTTCATTTTCAGGATGAGGGGCATATTATGTTTTAAATTCTGGAAGCGATTGATATAAAATAACAATGAGGACACTTTAATCACTAAGAATGAGTTATATATTTTGGTGCAACAATTATAGTAATATATTAGATCACAATTAAAAGGTTTATTCTAAAGCTGAACATTATTTTCCAAACAACATAATAAAATATGTTTATGTATACAAACTAATCTATTAAATTTATTCATTAATTATTAAAGGCACGGTACCAATCTACATGATAGTGTAAGCGACCTTATGCATATGGTATCCAATTAGTTTAGAAATGTGTAGACTCTTATCACTATTCCAGTGTTTTCTCAGATCACTGATTACAAATGTTTCGAACAAAATAAAATTGTAGGTTTTAGGACCATTTTTCACCGTCGGCTGACGATATAGAATGAAAAGCCGAAAGTACAACAATTAAAGAATTTCAACAACTAAAATGGATAGCACATGATAAGAAAATAATGACATAATCAAGATGTTTACATTCCACACTACTTCAATCACAAAGGTTAGGAAGGAAGCCCCCATCAATACTGAAAAGGGTTATAACAGCTACTGGGATTGAAAAGAGAAAATATTAACAATCAATATGTTGACATTCCACACTACTTCAAACAAAAGGTTAGGAAGGAAACCTCCATCAATACTGGAAAGAGTTATAACAGCTACTGAGATTGAAAAGAGAAAATGTTAACAATCAATATGTTGACATTCCACACTACTTCAAACAAAAGGTTAGGAAGGAAGCCCCCATCAATACTGAAAAGGGTTATAACAGCTACTGGGATTGAAAAGAGAAAATATTAACAATCAATATGTTGACATTCCACACTACTTCAAGCAAAAGGTTAGGAAGGAAGCCCCCATCAATACTGAAAAGAGCGATAACAGCTACTGGGCGTGAGAAGACAAATTATTAACATAATCAATATGCTTACATTCCACACAACTTCCAAGAAAAGGTTAGGAAGGAATCACCCATCAATACTGGAAAAAGTGATAACAGCTACTGGGCTTGAGAAGAGAAAATAATAACATAATCATGATGTTGCATTTCACACTACTTCAAACAAAAGGTTTGGGAGGAAACCCCTTTACTACTAGGAAGATAGTTGACTCGAACAATGTATTTTCTATTTTGAGATATGTAGGAATTTTTTTTAAATTTCAACTGACAGTCACGTTAACTGTTCGATCAATTTTTCTTTATCAGGAAATGGCTACTATTACCTTGTTTTCTTCTAGTTCTCATTATTATTATTATTTGAATATTATTATAATACTTGAAAATATTTTAAATATGAAGAAAACAGACATTCTGTTTAAATATTGAATAATATCAAAAACTGTGATTCTTCTTTTTTCTTTTCTTAAATCGTACTCTTCACTTAAGTATTGAAAAATATGAGTCACGTCAATAATTTTCTTCTTCTTCTTTATTATTATTATTATTATTATTATTATTATTATTATTATTATTATTATTATCTTTGAT